ATTACAGCCCCATCTGGCAACCAGCATCACCGTGAACCCGATCTCGTATTCCGTCTATAGTCGTACTTGAATCGATGTGTCGGCTCTTCCAGAGCATTGCAAGAAACACCAGATTTTCTAGATGGATCGTGACACTGTGCCATGAGATATTTCAGGCAGTAGACCAGAGCCTCACAAATATGACTTCTACCAATTAGAATCATCAATGCGGTTTTGGATTCTCGTGACAAAAACATAAGCTCGGAATGCTACAATTCTGAGAACGTTTTGTTCAATTTTACAATTGCCAAATACACGAATCTTCTGTTCTCTTGCGACAGTGATGGCCGTCGCCTGAGCTATGCTCTTAAGGCCCCACCTAGTTTGGAAGACATGCCAGCGAGAAGTCGACAACGGCTTTTCATGGCCGTACACTCTGCATGAGAAACATACCCCTCAATTTTCAAAAACCAAAGCTCTATTGTTGATCTCTGAATTGCCAATTTCAACATGAGCGGTACAGAATCGCATTGGACAAAGCTGTCTTCGTTTCCGCGACTCAACCACGTTCGGCTTTTGGAGGACTTAAGAACTGCTCAGTGGGTCCAATAAAATGCGATCGCCTCCACCGGAGAATAACACAGGCCTCGTCATTTTCCGATGTCCTGCCAAGACCAAAAAGGAAGAGTGGTTGGATGGTTCTGCAGTCCGACTGGGAACGTAGCTATTCCCAATTTCCCCTAAAAGAGGAAACTTTCTCTCCTCTGGTGGCTGACTCAGCTCTCACTGCGCAAAGAAAACGAACAGAAAAACAAAAGGCGGCTCTCAGGGGTAAAGCGGGGATAACAAAAGCACCCTGCATTGTGGGAAACGGCACTTCCGGGGCCCCGGGGGACCGTTGGCGGGCGGCGTCGCGCCGGCCGACTGGGCGTTTAATGTGCGTGTAAGGCTACTAACGGCCGCTTATGATTTGACTGATGGAAGACGAATACCAATGCAAGTGATCAAGATCAACTTGAACGATCCGACTGCTGTCAGCTTGTTACCTTTCACAATCTGCTGGCTGTTCTCGTTCGCCCGATCGGAGGGTCAACCGCCGGTCGGCACCCCCCAGGCCGCCGCCATGTAACGCTGGCTGCAATGCACGGCACCAACCAAACGTCGAAAACGCACGAAATGCTTTTAGCCAGAGTTTCAGAATGTTCGACCTCGGCAGCCCGCTCAACCACTCGCTCTACACTCTGTATGGCCTAGTAGGACAGGCTGCTTGGGTGTCAGTTCGTCACAGTGGTACACTAAGAAAAACAAAGTTTTTGCCTTGAGGAACCGCTCTCCGCCAAGGTGGAAACGAAACCGTGGGGGGGAGAGGTCGGAGAAGGACTCTGGAGGGTGGCACGGGTGGATGATGGGAGGCCTTTCGCAACTGCGCTATTCCTTGAAAGGGGGTTCGACAGTTTTGCGAAAGATAGTTCGCGAACATGCGATTGCGAAAGACCGAAAGAGAGATAGAAAAGAAAGAATGCCTCATTCCGATTGCCACAGGCTCATCATATCAACCAACCAACACGCAATAAACGAACCAACGCGTCCTGTCCAGTCAGCTCCCCAGGGTTCCGTCACATAGTAGAGTTCATCCCCTTCAACCAATCCCCAGTATTTCCACAAGAGCACGGCATCTTTTGTGAGGCATAACTCTGTAGACGGGCTTGTCAACCGCGCCTTCGTGGCCACTCACTGCGCCATGCTCCCCTCTCCCGCAAAGGCCAAGACTTCCCAAGAGCCCAAGTTGGGAAAACCCAATATGGCAGTCATTCGCCCAGTCCGATCTCCCGTTGCTTGAATGCAGTGCAGCGCAGCAAGACGTAAGTGCCCAGCTTCGTCCCGGGCGGCCCGGCGCAAGAGGCATCCTTGGATCTGAATGGAACCCAGGAAAACCTTCCATTGTTGTTGGCCGGCCCTTCTAAGAATAGGGGGCTCGTGCTGGGTGCGAGTTCGCAACTTCGCATACCGACAGGGCTGCCGCCATAGAAAGCAGACGCGCAGAATTCTGGAACCCAGTCTTTACCGCTCGGGGCTCAGGGGCACATCTGACTGCATGGAGCACAAATGCACCTCATAAGCCTATCAAGATGAACATGCTGACTTCCTTCACCACTCCTTTACCACCTAGGCATACGGAGTAGTTGAGTGCCAAAGAAAGCCGAACAACTCGTAGGGAGAAAACTTGAACATCAGACCAAACCTTTGGGTTCGCGGCACCTGGGTGATCCCTGCCGGCAGTGGTCGTCAGCCCCCCTGCTCCGAGTCATTCGCGCACCTGTTTGCCGTTGACGTTGGTCCCAGCGGCCCCAGAAAAGCAATTAGTTTGCTTCGTCAACATGGGGCTATGGTGAACTCTATTGTAGTGCTCCGTAGGGGGGGGGGGTCCTCAACTCCGTAAGGTTGCGTGAACAGTGGTGGCCGCGAGGGGGTCGTACGACATCGAAGTTATTTAAGCAAAGCGAGCCGTCACCCCAATCTCCGAATGCTGTTGGTTTGCTAGCTTAGCCTCGAGCTGATCATCTTTTCCAACTTTACTACATTCTTTTGCATCTAGTTCGTTTCTACTATTCACAACCGCATCATGTCATTCGCTCAACTCTCGCTTGCGGCCATGTTGGCCGTGGGCGCTTCCGCCGCGCCTTACTCTGCGCGCAACGTCAACACCTCTGGCGTCGTCGCATCCACCTATTTCGCGGGTTACCACGCGAACCGCGGATTCCCCGTCTCTGACATGCCGTGGGACAAGTACACCGACGCAAAGTACGCCTTCGCAGAGACCGCCGCCGACGGCAGCCTCAACCTCACAAAGTCGGCTCCCGACCAGCTTCCCGCCTTTGTCGCAGCCGCCAAGGAGCACGTATGTTGGCCCGTAGATCAATTTCAACCTCCACCACAGTGACTAATAACATCTTCATGCAGAATGTCAAGGCTCTCGTCTCCATCGGAGGCTGGACCGGCAGCCGCTACTTCAGCACCGCCTTCGGCAGCGCAGAGAACAGAACCGCCTTCGTAAAGACCTGCCTCGACTTTGTCGAAAAGTACAACCTCGACGGCCTCGACTTTGACTGGGAGTACCCCAACCGCCAGGGCCTCGGCTGCAACACCATCGCAAAGGACGACACGGCAAACTTTGCCTCCTTCCTCACGGAGCTCCGCCAGAAGCAGACCAAGCAGCTCTACCTCACCGCCGCCACCAGCCTGAACCCCTGGAACAACGCCCTCGACGTCGCCAGCACCAACGGCACCCTCTCCTCCTTCGCCAGCTCTCTCGACTACCTCATGGTCATGGGCTACGACATCTACGGCGCCTGGGCCGCTACCGGAGGTCCTAATGCGCCCCTTGCCATGGCTTGCGACACGCGCAACAACCAGGGCGGTATCAAGGAGGGTGTTGAGAAGTGGATTGGCGCCGGTATCCCAGCCAACAAGCTCGTTCTTGCCGTAGGTGCCTACGGCCACGGATTTTCCGTCAACTCCACCAGTGCCTTCTCCTCCCCCGGTGTCTTGAACGCCTACCCCGTCCAGAACAGCACCCACCGTTTCCAGGGCAGCAGCTGGGACGACGACCCATCGATCGATGAGTGCGGCGCCGCTTCGCCTCCTAGTGGAACCTACACTTTCTGGAGCATGATCAAGGAGGGCAAGTTCCTCGACGAGACAGGCAAGCCTCGCGACAGCATCGCTACCGGATACGACAACTGCAGTCAGACTGTAAGCTTTTTCCCCTAATTCTGACATCCGCTTCACCCTTGCACCGTAACTAACAGCTGAATAGCCTTTCCTCTACAACGAGACTGCTCAAGTCTGGGTTTCCTACGATAACGTCCAGTCTTTGACCGCCAAGGGCAACTATGTCACGTCCAACAAGCTGGCTGGCTTCGCCATGTGGGAGGCTGGTGGTGACTACAACAACATCCTCATCAACGCCATCCGCTCTGCGGTCGGCTTGTAAAGGAATGGTTGCAGTCGGGCGTGCATTGGTTAGATATAAAAAGTCTCAGCGACAAAGTTGTAATAACATATCTATGGAGTACATACCATTTCCTTCTCATACCCTGTCACACTACCTTAGTGTTCATAAATTCACCTTGCGCATTCCAAGTGGCCCGCATTAGTCCCGAAATCGGTCTCCACTGTTGCCTGCATACCTAACATAAGTTCTTGAGTCTCGTAAACCAATTCGGTGCGTGTCAAGATGTGTTTGCCGTGGGATCTACCTATGATGGTGTCTGTTGCTTAATCATATGGCTCGTATGTCCTTGTACTCGAGAGACATGTCACAAGAAGACATCCACTGCTGTAGTCCACCAAGTCTTGCCCCCTCTATCATGTCTTGTCCATCTCTCCCGAAAAGTTTTAATCATGTTGGTTACTGTTAGAAGAAGCTTCTCATTTATGCTCGATGTCTCTGTCGACTTGTCGAACCTGATGAAACAAAGAGCGAATATCAAGAAATCAAGAAGTGTCTCATCTTCATTATGTATGGTGTTCTGTAGGCTGACGCATCAAGAGGCAACAGCCTGAGGCTGTGAGGGACGCTCCTTCCTCGGGCTACCTCATGCGTACCTGCCTAAATTCGATCAGAGTCGAAGACGTCGTCTGCCTCAGCGGAGCGAATATAAAATTGCCTCACTTTTTCCTATCGAGGAACCATTCTCATCGCCTTCACCACTCACATCACTCTCAAGATCTCACAAATATCCTGCAACTCATCTTCCTTCACCATCGAGTCAAAGTAGCACGACTCCCCGGTCCAAGAATCCTCCTTCCGAGATCTTCGACACCACAAACTCACTACTTACTTTGACAACTTACATCTACCTCTCGCAGTAAGTATCACGACAGTCTCATCTCCTCAAACCTCACCTCATCCACCTTTTCTCTCACTCCACCCACATTTCACTCACCCTCATCACTACGATCCATCCACTTACAATTTCCCCCAGACACCCACAACAGCAACAACCTCAACTTCAAAAATGCCTCCCAAGACCACCGCATCCGAGGCCGCGGCCACCCTCAACCTCACCGACGGCGAACTCAAGCTCGCCCTCGCAATGATGAAGCACGTCGAGCGCCCCACCACCGCCGTCCTTGAAAAGATGGCCGAGGAGGCCGGCCTCTCCGGCGCCTCCAGCGCCCGCACCCTCCTCACCCGCGCCGCTACCAAGCACGGCTGGTTCGCCGGCGGTGGCAACAACAGCACCGAGGATGGATCCGGTTCTGTCCCTACGCCCCGCCCCAAGAAGACTGCCACCCCGCGCAAGAAGAAGATTGCCGAAGTCGAGGAGGGTGCTGAGGAGGAGGGCACGCCTACCAAGAAGCGCGGTCGCAAGAGCAAGGCGCAGAAGGTTGCGGAGGAGGCTGCTGCTGAGGCTGCTGCCTTGGCTTCTGCCGCTGAAGCTGCCGCTGAGAAGGATGTGGATGATGAGGAGATGAAGGAGGATGGTGATGGTGCTGTCAAGGAGGAGACTGGCGATGCTGGTGGTGTCAAGGAGGAGGGTACCGAGCAGAAGTGAGATGGCCGCAAGCATTTTGGGAACTTCACTTTGTTCGTTGGATTCGGCAAGACGGATGGATGGATGCCTGCTCTTTCTTACTCTGGTTTGATGATACCCCCTTTTCTTGGCTTGGACGGCTGCTGTCTAGCTGCGTGATTGCGACGCATGGTCTTGGGGATTACTTGAGGTTACATGGCACTGGATGGCAGTGCTTTACGTGAGGTACCTCGAAAACAAAACATCCCATTGCAATTTTGCCTTAGGATCGGTTCGTGATGAGTGAATGATACCTACCGGGTCCCAAGAGATATCACCTGGGAGCCCGTGACCACGTGAGAGTCGCGAACTACCTATAATCCGCAAGCCTCTTCATGATGGTCAAAGTCCAGCAGCAGCAGAACATTTTACCGCAACTCCTCCCGATTCCAGAGTATTTTACCATCCTCAATCACTACCTCCCCTCAAAAGCTGATACATCGTGACTGCCAGCGTAGAGAACATCGCGTCCCACACTGGTGGATGAAGTGAAAGGACACAGGAAGATGCTCTGCAAACATCGCCAAGGGAGCCCCATTGATCTTGACTTCGATCTCTGTCGAATCCGTACGGGATTGCTGTTCCTCATCTCCTCATTATGTGCAACCAGGAAAATAAGAACAAAAAAGAAAAAAAGGAAGACCCGTCGACGCGCTGTGACGCGCTTTGGTGTCGACCGCGAAAGTCATGACATCATCAGCGGCCCAAGCCTTCAACGACATCTCAAAGTCTACGCCTAGTTCATCATTACCTCCTTTGGATTTCAATCCAGTTCGACGACTGTACCAAATCACTTAACGAATTCAACGCGAAAAGCCGCAAAAATAACATCGCAATGACTCCACGGAAAGAAACCCAATCCAATGCATCTGATAATGAAGCCGTCGTCGCTGGCACGAAGCGCAAAGCCTCGGAAGCCTCACAGGCCGACCACGCACAGGACGAAGAACCCGACACAAAAAAGTCAAAGACGGAAGACACCAAGACAACGGTAGACTGGCTTTTACGCGACGAGGCTTTCTCCCTCGCCTTCCCCTCCCTCCCGCAAGGCCACGGCGAAATCGACTGGGACGAAGGCCAACACCGCAAGGATCCTCCCCCCGAAAACGCCGGGAAGAAAACCAACACTTCAAAGGCCTCAAAGGACAAAGACGACGACGACAGCCATGACGACAATTATGACAAAACACCCCGTCTAACCTACCCAGACTCCACCCTCACCCCCTTCCAAAACCTCGTCGCCGCCCTCCTCTTAAGCAAACCCATCTCCCACCGCCTAGGCCTCCGCACCATCAACACGCTGCTCAACCCGCCCTTTGGCCTGCGCACGCCGCAGGACCTCGACGAAGCTGGGTTCGAGGGGCGGAGGAAGGTGATGTGGGAGGCGAGGACCCAGCACAAGGAGAAGACTGCTGTGCAGTTGGGGGATTTAGTTGAGGGTGTGAGGAAGATTTGCGGTGGAGATGGTGGTGACGGTGATGATGATGACAAGGAAGACGGTGAGGAGAAGACAAAGGAGGAGGGAGATGAGGGGGATGTTGAGAAGATGACTGCGTTGAGGGAGATGGTTAAAGGGATGGAAGTAGAGGAGGCGCAGAAGAAGGTTGAGAAGGAGTTGACCGATGGGATTAAAGGTGTTGGACCGACTGGTGCTGGGATCTTTCTGCGGAGGGTGCAGCAGGAGTGGGAGGAGGTGTTTCCGTATACTGATAAGAGAGCTCTCGAAGCTGCTGTCGAGTTTGGTGTCATCAATGAAGGCGACGGTGCGAAGGAGCTGGCAGATGCGGTTGCGGGGGACCGAGGCAAGTTTGTGAGGATGCTGGATGTGCTTGTTGGGATTCAACTTGAGAAGAAGATGGAGGAGGCGCTGAAGATGGCCAGGGGAGAGAGCAATTAGGTCACTAACATGGGATTTGGCAGAGTTCTCTTCGTGATTCGTTAGCTTCAGCTACCTCGGATGATGACCTCCTGTTCAACCAGGTCTCATTGACATCCTTTTTCTTGCCCCAAATGCAAATTCCCTCACACGACGCTGTGCCTTGCTTTGCTTTTTAGGTTGCCCACCATCGCTCTCTCTCAAGTTAATCTAGTATCGCGGGTTCTCGCCGTATCCCTGGTTCGGTTGGTAGCCCTGGTTTCCACCGTAGCCTTGCCCGCTCTCATGACCTTGGTTCCCTCCATAGCTCTGGTTACCCCCGTAGTTTTGGCCCTGACCTTGGCTGTAACCCTGGCCCTGGTTCTGGTTGTAATTCTGGTTGTAATTCTGACTTTGGCCGTAGTTCTGGTTCTGGCCTTGGCCCTGGTATTGATCCGAGTGGTATTGCTGGTAGGAAGATGGCGGCTGGTTCTGATCAGGTCGGTACTCCTGGTGTGATTGATGCTGTTGCTGCTGATGCTGCTCAGGTCGGTACTCTTGGCTTAGAGGAGGGTTGTACGACTGCTGATGCGAGCCCTGTCCACCATATTGCTGCGACGGAGGCGGCGCATAGTTGCCACCCTGGGATTGACCCGAGTGGTGCTCACCACCGAGCTGAGATCCCGCCGTCGGCGCACCAACGCTGACATTCTCGTTGCCGATGTCATCAGGCACGTTGATCTTGACCTTGGGAAGGTACTTTTGCACCTTTTGCTCGACAATGTTCTGCACAAACACCCAGCTCTCGCGCTCAAACTTGCGGTGGCCACCATTGACGACACCGAGAATGCTCTCGCGCAGCGTCTCCTGCACCTTGCGCACCAGGGCCCGGATCTTATTGACTAGCTTCACCTTGATGTCGTCTCCGAACCCGCGGTCCGCGTGTCCGCCAGCGTCGCGGTCGAGTTGGGAGTCAAAGGGGTTTCCTCCAAGAATCTTCTCCAGAGGTCTCTGGAAGGCGTCTGGCAGGAGCTCGAACAGCTGCTTCTCGATAGCACCGAGGATCTTGCGGAACTCCAGACGGACTTCTCTATGCACCTTTGCCAGACCCGTGCTGAGCTTGTCGCTGATGACCTTGGAGAAGCCACCCTTCTCGCCTTCGCCCTCGGGACCATCACGATCGCCGATACCCCGGCTACCCTCCTGCGAACTCTTCTTATTTCCAAATAGGCCTCCAAGTCCTTTGACCAAATCCTTGACCTGGTCCTCAATCTCGCCCTTGACGCCGTCGCCGAGGTCCCTCGTGCTCGTGTTTCCGCGTAGCCAGCGCTTGATGTGCTCCAGCGCAATCTTGGTAAACTGCTCGGCAATTGGCGCGTGTTGCTCCCTCAGCTTCATGCCGACTTTTTCCTTGATCTCGGGGCTGATGACGCGGGCCTTCTCCTCGGGGTTCCGCGCGGCGTCCTTGACGGTGTTGCTGAGGACTCCAAGGAGGCCATCGAGTTCAAAGCCCTGCCCGCCGCCGCCTGAGCCCTTATTCTTCTCAAGGTGGTCTTGGACGACGTTGATGGCGGAGGAGAGGAAGCCCTTTGCCCCGCCGAATGAGTCGCTGTGGCTGATGCCGCGGGACTGGGTTTCGGGACCGCCGCCTCCTCCTCCACGGGCCTCATCGGTAAGGTTGAAGATGTCGCGGAGGTCATCGCCTGCTTCGTCTGTGATGACACTGAAGCTGCGGGTGAGCTTGCCAATCTCATCAGCGAAGGGTAGGGATTGGATGCCGTATGCATCGGGCGGTGTGTCGTTCAGTCCTCTCGAGCCATCGCCTGAGCCCTTGTCCTTGTTGAAGAGTGACCGAAAGGCGTCAACAACTTGGTCTTCAAGGCTGTCGATGGTTCTCGTCTGGAAGGTGTCGATCTCAGACGCGATGCGGGGTTGAATCTGTGGGGCGAGGGAGTCAACATACTCGTCGACCTTTGTCATCAAGACATCGGGGAGGCCACGAGAGTTGGACATTGTTGCGGTGTTGAGTGTCGGGGAATTTGGAGGTGGACGGCTAGCTTGAAGAAGAGAGACAGGCACAATGAAAGGTGACCGTTGAGCTCTCGAATGGTGCTAGCTTGGTGGGTGGTCGGCGGCCGGTCCCGCTGATGGTGGTGAGGCAGCCGGGGGAAGCTGAGCTGAGCTCGAGCTGAGCTGTCACGTGTGACGCCATCGCCATGGCGGGGTTGCGACTGCCCAGACGGCTGACGTCAGGTTCGGCACGGACCATTCGTGAGGGGTACATTGTACGTATCTTTCACTCACTGCGCTCTCACTGCGCTCACTCTCACTCACTCACTCGCGGATCTCAGTCTCATCTCACTCGTGACAATGAGACCCAGGCAAATGTTGACCTCCAAGCTTCCAGTCCCGACTCACAATCTTGAACCAAAACGGTGACGTAGGTTCATCTCATTATAGACTTTACGCATCTTCCACCACCTACATGTAACATGGGCACAAGAGAGTCATCCTAGGGTGTAAGAACGAGTCAGGCAATGGAGAGAGCATTGACAACAACCACCACAGTCCTTGAGCTAAAATTTGATCGAGGTGTATCATTGGTGTAGAACTAGAAGCAGCTGAGGGCCCTTCACTTCAGAGCAGCAAGGATGAGCTTCTTGTAGTCTTCCACAGCAAGCTCGAGATCTTGAACAGTGATGCGCTCGTCGGCCGAGTGAGCCACCAGAATAGTCCCAGGTCCATATAAGTAACGCTTGTGGGTTCCGTTCAGGCGCGGCACATCGGTGTAATAGTTCACCACAGTGGTGTTGAAGCCTGCTTGTGTCAGTCGAGGTCATTCCAGTCAACTAATCAGACAAACCACATACCTTCAACATCGTAATCCAGACTCACTGGCAAACCATACCCAGTAAATGTCAAATTGACATACTCCGGCGTCACTTCCGACACAGCCTCTTGCAAAACGTCCTGAATGCCCTGCAAATCCTCAGTCGCAGCCCGAATCGACGCTCTCCCCGACGCGCTCTCGGGAATCACATTCGTCGCGACCCCGCCCTCGATCAAGCCCACATTCAACGTGGTATTCCCAAACTCCTCCGTCCACGGCAGCTTTGTATCCTGAATCTTATCCAAAGCGCGCACGAGCAGGTCAATCGCGCTCCGCCCGTACTCGGGATACCCAGAGTGCCCCGCGACCCCGTCGGCTGTAATATTGAACCCCAGCACGCCCTTGTGCGCCCGGACGAGGGTGTTTTCCGTCGGCTCGCCAAAGATGACGGATTCCCACGTCAAGCCCAGAGTGTTTGCGGCACCCATGCCGTCGCCTCCAGATTCCTCGCCGACGACATATAGCAGCGCGACATCGCCTTCGACAATCTCTCCGCTTTCGAGAAGCTCCTCCACAGCGATGATTTGTGCTGCGACGCTGCCCTTGGCATCAGACGTTCCTCGGCCGCGAATCTCATCGCCAGAGCGGGAGTAAGGGATATAGGGCGGCACGGTATCAAAGTGCGATGTGACGAGGACGCGGGCTTCGCGGGCGGTGCCGGGGTAGGCAAAGACGTTTTGGCGGGTTCCCTCGACGGTTTGGAGCTCGACTGTGAAGTTTGTCTCGAGGTAGCCTTTGAGGGCTTGTGTTCCGAGGGCTTCGGATTTGGTTGTCGAGTCGGCTTCGACGAGGGTCTTGTGTAGGCTGATGAGGGATTCGGTGTAGGATGCGGCCCAGGCCGATGAGGCGAGGGCGCAGGTGAGTGCTGCCGATGAGAGGGGCTTCATATTGGCGGTGCTTCACATGAAGTTGAGAAGTAGCTGATCACGATTGATGTCCCAAGTCTCTGTGCCACACTGTTTGCTTGGAATTGGCCCAAGGCAGTGGATATGGGCGTTGGAATGCTTTTATCATTCACGGCCGGTATGGCGCCAGCGACACTTGTGGGGTACGCACAATCCCGGTTCCGAAGGTCACGTCGGAGATGCACCACGATAAGAAAGTCTGTGTTACTTTGAGAGGGGTTGGTGCTGCGCCAATGTGATTGACAGGCATTTCCAATGCGGGAGATCTTGGAATGGGCAGTCACTGCATCGCAGACGTCGACATCGAGGAAGGGGATTGATATGATCTTCTTCAATCCATCCTCATCGGTGGTGGGTTCGGAGCTTTTCGTTCAATGATTGCCGTGTTCGGTCGGGCTCCCACGAAGCGGGGTTATGGGGACCGGCGGTGTCGCCCGAGGATGAATAGGGTCGGGAGCAAAGCCGAAGTCTGGAAGATCAAGGGTCTGATGTCGGATTAGCTGACTCAATTGGGCAGTTTTCTCTTCCATAATCACCAAGTTTCTTGAGAATTCATTCTACCAAAGGGCAGCCAATTCCTCTGCTCAATTGCTAGTGACAATGCTTCATACAAAGTCTTGTCTACTAGAGGGTCTCGTTGAGAAAGCGACACTCGGTCACAGTGCGTGTAAAAGAGACCTGAGAACAGCTGAGAATTCCCTCATCATTCCCTCCCGTGGCTAATGTTAAGCTCGAGCAAGTGTACACAAACAGACTATGATTCAATAACTAAATTGATCTCTGACAAAGTTAGTTGCTTGTTGGGGAATTCCCTTGCTATATCCAGCTGTCCAGCCATATTTCTAAGCAGAAACAGCCCCTTGGTGACTAATGCCGAAAGTCTGTGCGCCCCGGCACTGCGGATGGCTCCTTTTTGCACCACCTTAAAGGCTTAAATGACCAAACTTGGTCGTCCGCGGAAATAACTTCGTGGGGCAGATACGATTCAATGGTGGATTTTACAGAGTCTCATTGTTTCTAAGCGCAAATCCAAGTGCCCATAACTCAACTAACCTTTGTTTTCGTCCATGGCGTCTGCCCACTTGAGCACGCGATTTCTCAGCAACAGCTTGACTACCAGGTTACTAATCCCACGTGTTGTTTCAACGTCTCCTCCTCTTGACTTAAATTGGTCTTTATTCCGTCATTCATCTCGAGGATACCATTCAGATCAGCAACTTCAACAACGTCGTCCATTCTCCTCAATCTCAGCTACAACCCTCCAGAGCACCCAATTGAGACCGATATCATATACAGCAACAATGGCAGCCACTATCCGAGCTCTCGTCTCCCAAGGCGACAAGACTGCCAAAGTCCAAGAGGTACATGATGTCACTCACATACCCCTCAACCGGTCCTCCTTCTCCTATACTAACCACCATCACAGGTCCCTAAGCCTCAACCCGGCCCAGGCGAAATCCTCGTCAAGATCTCCGCCGTAGCCCAGAACCCAACAGACTGGAAAGCCACAGCCGGCGCTCCCGCAGGCCGCACCGTCGGCTGCGACTTCGCCGGCACCGTCGCAGACCCCAACGGCTCCTCCTTGAAAGAAGGCCAGCGCGTCGCGGGCTTCGTCATGGGAACCAGCGACAACCCGCCCCGCGGCGTCTTTGCGCAGTACGCCGTCATCGAGAGCAGCCTCGTCTTCCCCGTCCCCGAGTCCGTGACGGATTCTCAGGCCGCGGTTATCCCCTTGGCCTTTGCTACCGCTGTTCAGGCGCTGTTCCAGCGACTTGGACTTCCTGAGCCCACGAGCCCGAGCAAGGAGGCGATTCCAGTGTTGATTAACGGCGGAACGGGCAGTGTGGGATTGTATGCCATTCAGCTGGCGAAGAAGGCTGGGCTGTATGTCATCGCAACTGGAGGCAAGAAGAACCACGAGCTCTTGAAGAGTCTCGGTGCGGATGTGGCGATTGATTACCGCGACGCCGATTGGGTTGAGCAGGTCAAGAAGGCTGCGAAGAATAACTTGAAGCACGTCTTTGACGCCATCAGCGAAGTCGAGACCACAAAGGCTGTTGCGACGGCGCTCTCACCCGAGGGAGGCCACGTCGTCTGTATTCTGCCGCGTAAGGCCAAGGAGGTCGGCGCTCCTGAGGGAGTCAAGGTCGAGAGCACGTTAGTGTACTCGGTGTTTGGAAGGGCTCTTACGTATGGAAGCTTCGACAACATTGATGGGGAGAAGCCTCAGGATAAGAAGTTTTGGGAGAAGTATCTGGGGCTTCTGCCCAAGTGGTTGGAGGATGGTTCTATCAAGCCGAACCCGCAAAAGGAGTTTGGTGGTCTCGATGATATCAACAAGGGCTTCGAGTTGCAGGCCAAGGGTGGTGTGAGTGCTGAGAAGCTGGTCTATAAGATTGTTTAGACCACTTGAGAATTAAGGAAACAAATAGCGATCGAAGTTACTGACTTGGGACTTCTGCTGTGGATATCGCACGTGATGACACAGTTGAATGAATATAATGTGAATACTTCTTTACCGCCGCGTTTTCCTCTTTGGATATCTTGTTCTGCAACAAGGTAGCTCTTGCCTTTGGAACGATTATCTCTTGCTCTTTCCTCCACAATTGGGGCTTCCCTTATTCACCACCTGCATTCCTTTGAACTTCCACCTTTCCCACCAATACTCCCAATCTCAACTTCCCAACCTCACCCTCTCAACTTTTCTTCCACCTTTCCTCCCGTCTTTCTTGTCAACCTTACCTTTCGACTCAATCGACCCAATCAGTTCATACATCCATCACCCTACCTGCCTTTCCCTTGTTACCAACAAGGTCTCGATCATCTTACTTCATTCCCCATACTAGATCGCTTCCGTTGGTCATTGTCTCCAAAATTCTCCTACCTATCAATCACTACAAAAGCTTTCAGCGATCTGACCAACCCACGTAAGGGATTATTGCTGTCCCTCTCTCATCCAAGCCTCTTTCATCTACTGACGGCCTCATCCCTTCAGCATGTCATCATCTCACGGCCAGTCTCTGTGGAAGCCGGTGGTCACCTTTACCGTCCTCCTGCCCCCCATTGAGCAATACCCGATGGCAGAGAAGGGTAGTGAAGGGGGCAACTGGGCTCTTCACGATCCCGACACCTATGCCAGCTCCAAGAACCAGCAAGAGCGACATGAGGTCGAGCAGTGCCTGGCTTGCGGCAACCCTTCCACCCGGAAATATCGCTGCCACTGCAAGGCAGCCAGGTACTGCTCTGCCCAGTGCCTCGAGGCTGACGACCTCCATCAGCGGTTCTGTGTGGGCCGTCAAGACGCCAAGACCAAGCCTGCCTTCAGCCTTCCGTTGGAGAGTCGGCCATCCAAGAACCACTTCCTAGCGGCGCTGCTTCCCGTGGATGAAAGCGATCCGAAGCCGATCTGGATCTCTCTCCAGATGGACCGCAAGACTGGCAAGATGAGTTTTGCTACCGATGAGATGGCCATTGCGAAGGCGGCTGGCAAATCCAACGATAGCTCCGACCCTGACATCATTCACGTCGGTCTGAACTCGGTTGCGACTCCTATTCAGAAGAGCATTGCCCACGGAGTTGACGCCATCAAATTCGGTTCCTATAAGGACACTTCCGTCAATAGTATCAACAGCTGCATTCAGAGCTTTGGCAAGCCGGGGTTCTTGGCGTGCTACTTCGGCGCGGTTGTTGTCTGGACCTACGACCTCGAGTTCAACGGAGCCTTCAAGTCACCCCGCGACTTGGGCGTGCGCGACCTTCGCCACGCTCTTGACTGTCACGTTCTCAATTCGGTCAACCCGGTCGTCTCCCATCCCAGTCGATTCATCCTTGAGGGCGGTATCATCCCGGCTCTCAAGATCAACGACCTTTCGGATCGCTGGTTGGAGGCTCTGGGCGTCACCCGCCAAATTGAGAAGGTTCACGTCGCCGCCTCGCACCAGTACTTTGAAGCCTCCCCAATCGGCAAGCTTTTCCACCTCGGTCTTCGTTGGTATGTGAGAACCGCAGTTCCAATCGCCATTGCTCCAACTGGAGAGCTCCACGAGGACCACGAGGAGATCCTCCACCACTTCCGTCAGACGGTCCTTCTGGTTGCCTAGGAGGCACCCCAGAACACCGGCATGCGCAAGGCCCAGCTCCAGGTGGTTGATCTAAAGCATTCTTCAAGCTTTCACCTGATGCAGGTTTGCGGAAAGCAGATCGAACCCGCCCACCTCATTGCCGTAATGGAATATTTCAAGCTCGCCAGTGCCTCAGGCACCCCAACCACAGAGAAAGCGTTCCGCGCATATTGGGACTACTTCAAGAAGAGTGAGCTGATGAAAGGTCACCCGATGGCTGGAGTTCCTTCCCCTTATGACCTTGAGAGTGGCCATAGTCACGATCCCAACGCGGCCGGTCTGGTCTCACTACTCCAGTCATACAAGTCGTATGACGATTTCATCGGCCAGACCCCATTCGCCAATGACCACATTGACGGTGGCCTGAACGCTCCGAAGGCCGAGGTCAAAGAAGTCAATTCCGCACGAGTCATGGAGCAGCTGTCTGGGCTTACTGCTGAGTAGACTTAGCTCGTGATAGACCACAGTCATCACAGTCAGTTTCTTTCCACCTCTCCCCCTCGATCCAAATTACTAACATCTGACTACAGCAGCCATCCGACCGATCTGATAATCCACGCGAGTAGGATGAGAGAGAAGAATTCGAGGTGAATTCGAATATTCTGAGGGAATCGGGTGGTATCGAGAGCCGTTGAGACGATTGAGATAGAGAGATACCTTCACAAGACCGGAATTGAGCCTCTCATTAAGCTGTCCACCGTCGCATCCTCCATGTTTCCAGATATTCCAAGCCCCGAAATCGAGGACTTCTGGTCTTAGAGTTAAGACAAAGCCAGACGCCTCCAGTCCTAGTGCTAACCTTAACGATTTGCTTCATACGCCCTTTTCAACTTGAGGAATCGTGGGTGGTCTCTCGGCCTCACTCCCGTGACCTCGCCATCCGATCCTTGCCGAAAGATCTCAAGCCCATCCTTCCTTGTCGTAAGCCCATACTGCCCATCTGGCACCGGCAAGCCCATGAATTGGGCGTGCTTATCATCCTCCAAAACCCACTCAAGCCCTCTCTCCCGCATGCACCGCAGTTCATCCTCAATGATTCTCCCTCGACCAATCTGAAACGCCTCATCGCGCGTCAAGGCCTTTGCCTCGCCTGCTTCAACCAACCTTATCGCAGTCGTCCCGTCGTGCTGTTCGGGATTAAGGATACCCGCGTCATCGAGCCAGTGGAAGAGTAAACTGCCTGAGCCGGAGTGTGCGCCCCATGGGTTAATCTCAATGAGATTCACCTCAAACTCGGGATTAAGGACTTTTGCGTAGACGTCTAGGATGCAGCTTTTGAAGTTCAGATCAAGTGCGATACACGACCACAGGCGACGGGACTGAGATGCAAGCCTTCTCAGCATACTGTCTGTAATGCCTGCGTGGCTCGGCTGATAGAACCTGCTCTGGCTGATTGCGACGATGTGACCTTCCTTGACATAGCATCGCCACTCGCTCAAACGGTCAAGCTTGGTGTAGTATGGGAAGAAGTAGAGCTGATTATCCCAAAAATTTGCGTCCTGAATGAGTTGATAGAACAGGCTCAGGAGTGCCTGGATGGTCCTCTTCGAAGAAACCAACTTCACGAGTGCTTCGCGCATGTTGTTTACAGGTTGAAGATTTACTCCGTCGGCGTCTTTGGGGCTGCAGTGGCTCGTCCGAACGAAGTACCCAGCCGATGTGGCGTTCTGGAGACCCTTGGTTTTCTGCTCCATCTCTGCTGCGAGTTCACTCAAAGCTTCACTCTTTTCAGCTTCCACCATGTTGTAGTTGAGCTCCGCTGCAACTTCTGGAAGTCGTCGGACTTCATCTTTGAGTAGGTGATGGGTTGCAGCAGGAGGGTTGAGCATGCATTCCTGGATCCGCGGTGTCAACCAGCGACCCATATTGAATGGCGCGATTTCCTGTTCCCTTTTGTGTAGGTAGGATGGAGTCAGGTAGCCTGTCTGTTCGAGCCATGGCGCCAAGGCATGGTGGTTGTAGGAGTTTAGGCGGGCTGATGGCGAGGTGTTTAGCGGACGTCGCTGGATCACCACAGGTGTTTGGTCTTGAGACGTCATATTGAGGATTGGGCCGTTTGAGGGATAGACATCGAGTCGGGATGTTGAGATTGTTTCTTTGTTGCAGCATCGTCTTTGTTGCTTTAGTATGTTCGTCGCCTGGAAGAATGATGATGAGTCACGCCGTGCGAGGTCATTGAGGCCTGAAGGATTGGAGATTCTGGAGCTAGCATAATACATGGTGATGATCCTTCCAGATTGCCGAAAACTCTCACTCAAGCCAATACACTGCTTCACCTCCTTTCCGGTATTCTTGGCCTATCATATGAGGGGAAGTTTCTTCTTTTACAAATTTCCCAGCTGATATTCAAAGCCACTCTCCTCCAATGACCTCATTAGTATCCAAGGCACCAGCCTCAAGACGCAGGAGGCGCGGGAACCCTGAACCTCCCACTCCTCACATCCTCCTGGGCCTTCAAACTCAAGTTGACAACTTCAACAATGATGTGCTGCCTCTCCGCCTCGAGGTGCTCCTCTGAGATACCGCTCCATACCACACGGAGGCATAAATATCAAGATACCTCTTCCCAGCCACACTGACATCCCTCGCAGTAATATTCAACACCCCAAATCTGGTGTTCTTGCTGTCGACAAGATTCTTGTCACCGCAAGCCTTGAGTCGAAACTCGTGGAGCGGTCGGACCATCGGTCTCTGCGCACAGGTTCGTAGGCTGTAGTTGGGAATACTAAAGTTGGTCACCACCCCGCCCCAGCCCTCCAGAATTCGCGATGTGCCAGTCGCCCCTCCGCCTGCATAAGTCGACTTTTTGAAGTAGTGCTCTGCGTTGCCGCGATTATTAGCAGCATCTGCGAGAGGGGAGGCAGACCACGTTGAAAAGGCCCACGCGTTGACGTTGGGAAGTGGTACGAGAGCACGGCCCTCGACTGCTTTCCACGTTGTAGGATCATGCAATGTGGAGTTGGAGTTGACATCATACCAGAACTTCTTAGCATCTTCAATGTCCTGGGAGAAGAGCTCGAGAAAGCCCTGGTCGCGGATGGACGCTTTTCGTTTGGCGAGGATGTCCATGCAGAGAGAGGCTGGGGTTGGGAGTGGTATCTGGCTATTGGGGACGTGTGTGCGCTCGTTGAGGAGTTTGAGCACGTAGTGGCATCGCTCGAGTTCGAAATCAGTTTTCTTTCCTGGCGTCATTGGGCCTGAGAGGATGTATAGATGACCGTTGAATTCCTCGGTCCAGTTGCCGAATTTGGGCCAAGGGGTGCTTTGCGCAGTAGCCAAGGCGACGTAAATCGCGACGAGAATGAATAGCATATTGAGATTAGAGGAACGATGTGAGGATCTAAACTCTGGCTACATTGACCAAGATTAAGTTTCTAAGACCAAAGATGATGGCCGTTATAAAGCAAAGTAGTTGGCGCTTCCATTCTTGACGCCGTAAATCGTCCAATCGCTCACGATGTTTGCCCCGAGCTTCACGGCGGTCCTGAATCGTCATTGCATAGGGGAAACAGCAAAAAGGTTACTAGTTACACAATGAGAATCTCTATGGACATGAGCTTGTCAAAGCCTCCGTCGTGTTTACCGAGCCAGGCAATAGAAGAAAAGGGGCTCGGGTAATCGTACCTGATGCTTCCCCCGCACCTCTCGATGAATTCTACAGAGCCAATAGGGCGCGGGGCCCCGTGGTGAAAGAGATGATTCAGGCACTGTGAGCATCTAGATCAAAGGAAGGCTGTGCCAATGGGACAATACTGCTCGAGTTTCACATCCGATCTGGTCGGTACTACGAAGCGCCGTAGCACAAGTGAGTCTCTGCAAGCCCTCGTGGACACAGAAGCTTCGGCTGTTGGCGGGATAAAGATGTCTTGCCCGCCAAGGCGTCTATGGTAGCGACATTGACGTGCCATTGCAAGAAGCCATGTGGAATGACCCCTTGTCTATCGTCGAAGGAATGCACTGTAGCCTTTGATGTCCTTCCAGCTCACACGTGTCAAGGTGTTGGTTACATTTATTCAGAAGAATAGGGGTGGAGGGCGTCACTCACGAGAAAGACTCTCGCTTACATCGTTAGGGAGATCTACGTTCCTCCGAGTCCATGTCTGAAAAGCCTCTTGCCTGGGGTGAGCAAGACTCAGGATTGGTGTTTATCAATCTGATCATGTACTCACATGCACACAAACCTTGACGTCTGCAACACACTACTAACGACATGAACCCGTAATTGTCAAGTGATATCGAATGATTTTGATCAACAGCCAAAGACACGCCGGACAAGGCAACATGTCACGTCTTCGTTGCAGGTACATATGGAGGCAGTGCTCTATGGGCTGCAGCTTTGATGCTACGCCGAGACTCACGCAGCTTCTTGGTCTCACCTACCGGTAGCTTTCGGTTCCTCTCATAGACTCGATCTCTTCTCTCACCTTCATTCTATCTTGAAACGGGACAACTTATCGCTCACGAGTGATGTGGCAAAATTGTCCGAAGTACCTTACCTACAATAGCATATCCCCTAACTTTGCACCCTTCACGCTGATATGAAGCAATCTCAGCCTCTTCCAATCATCACGGTGTAGGTAGGTTGGTTGTTCTCAATTGAATTTTCACCGGCTGGAGATCTACCGAAGTCGAGACTCCCGAGCTGTGAATACTCGAGCTGTTTCATTCAGCTGTTGTCACTTCTCATATCGCGCTAGTTGATGTCGCTAATTCATGTAAGACTTCTTACCACGGAGTGTCATCTCCAATTCGCTTCGCTCGATTGTCACCGGCGCATGTCGCCATCGGAATCAGCTCACTTCTGGAAATCGGACGGTGACTCTGATCTCATGGCTATGAATAATCCCTGTCATTCGACTCCCAAGATATGTGTAACATCTACCTAGGCCCTACTTTAACCGTCTCACCGACTCCACGTCTTCGGATCCAGGTCCGGTGGCTAGCTTCGAATGGCAACGCCCCAAAGCCACTTAATACGAGGGAAGAAAAAAAAAGCAATGCGAAGCTGTAGAAGATATACCAATCGTCGCCGACCAAAGTACTCTTTCGGCCCTTTTTAGCCGTGTCTCCCAAGATTTGGGTGCAGAACGTGGCAGGGTTCGACCACGTTTTATGCCGGTCACACCAATCCCTACGGGGAGATATAGCTAAGTGCCATGCGTGATAAGAATCCTTGGGGGAGCTTCGCGTAGCTGGAGTTCTAGACCGCTCTGAGTCTCGTCACCATGATGTGACCTGTCTACGTGCACCAAGGCGGTAGATTGTTCTTGCGACAATCACGCAGGAAACGAGGTGACGGTACTATGGACATCACATCCCCAACTGAGCGGGGATCTCGGGCCCGGAACATCAATTCGTATTATATCCCATCACAGACTAGGCATTTTGCCCAGTATGCAGGACAGTCATCGCCTCTCAGCCTCTGCCGATATCGAGAATGCGTTATCTAAATAATGACCGGGTAAAATTGAATGGTTCACCGGACACCGCTGCAGATGACGACGGATTCAAGAGACATAATGTTATCAATGTAAAATACTCAAAGGCATCAGTTATTCAGAGTCTGTCGTGTCGAAAGTACGGAGTCGAGAACTTGTGCTGTTCTTCCAGGAGCTTGGTAGAGTCTATGTCTGCTCGACATTGAATTGCGCGAAAACACCATCGAGACCTTGCGACTGCAGAACTCGAGTCATTGCCATCGTGGGATTAAAATACCTGCATTGCAGGAAGCATGTGTTTTGGCGTCTGCCACATTGAACTAGCGGTAAACCAGCCCCGCGAATCAACGCCCCGAGCACGGCACTAAGGCGCCGGTTGCGATCATCGTCGGGCCAGTAGGCGGGCTTACATATAAGTGGCGATCCCGCTAGACCTGATCATCGGCCTCTTTGTTCGCCAAGCGCTGATGAAACACCGTTGATCAATTTCTGTGAACTTCACACATTCATCACTTCTTGTCAACACCAACATCACTGTTGTTGCTCAAGCGACGATGGGGACTCAGGCGTTTGGCACAGCCGTTTACTCCCTTGAGATACCGAGCATCTACTTTGGGGTCACGATTGGTCTCGTGATACTCATTGCAGTGAAAGCCTCACAGCAAACTGTTTCTATCTACATGAAAACAAACTCATTCTTCAACCTTTATGTGTGGATGTGAGTTTCTCTTCGTTACTACCGAGTCAATTCCGCTGCAGCGATCGCGAGTGATAACAGTTGAAAGGATATGGGTTCTACTTATTGCCAATCTGCTCCAAGCTATCATCAACTGGCTATTCATTCGAGGTGATTTGTCGGGAACGTAAGACACCCAAACCAACTCGCAAGAAGAAGGCTCAAATCGCTCATCTATGGCTTCAGCTTTGGCTTCTTCTTTGGAAGTTGCATTCTGTGGACGTTGCAGACGCAGCTAGCCCTCCAAATCATCGCGAACCGCTTAGGCCTCGTCATAATCGACAAAAGCAGGGTGAGGATCATGAAGATCTCGTTGCTCGTTATAGTCGGCATCATCAACATCTCAGTTGCCTGCATATGGATTCCGGCACGCCTGACGCAAGAGGAGCCATTCGTTCGCATTAATGAGGTCTGGGATCGCATGGAGAAGATCATCTATCTCTTGGTGGATCTGACTCTGAATGCAATCTTCCTCCGCAAAGTCCGACGGGAACTTATTGCGGGAGGTCTCACTAAGTATTGGCTATTATTCAACTGCAACGTCGCTGCCGTCTCGGTCTCTTTGTCCATGGATGTGAGTCCACCTCTTCCATTCTTGTCTAGCCACGCTGACAGATGTACTAGATTCTCATCATCGTTATGATGTCGCTTCCTAACCCTTTTCTTTACGCCATTACTCATCCGGTCGCGTACAGTGTCAAACTCGTGATTGAGATGCTGATGGCAGATCTGATATCCACTATCGCCCGGCAACCACACCAGCTTCTAAGCCGGTCGGATGTTTAACAGACGGATTGCAACGAGAATAGGATTGAAAATTCAAGCAATATTGCTACCGGAATCGGGACCATGGCGAACCAAGTATTGGGGATTTCACGTAAAAAGCGAAACACTTACGAAAAGCTTTACCTTAATAACATATCATGCAAAAGCTTCACATCACGAATTTGATACATGAATGTCATACTTGCGATATCAATCTACACCCAATATCAATTGCCGCTCTCCGTGTAGTATTGCAAGGGGAATGTGCCGTTACTCGGCAGACCCCCGGGCGACGGCAACGACTACAACGACGAACATAAAGACGACCACAATGTCGACTATAAAGACGACGACGACGATGACTGCCAGCTCCTTAGCTCTAGCTCGGAGTTCTTAGCCATCCCATGGACGCTTTTTGAGGTACCTGACGGAGCGAGATTGCCTTTCCCACTCAAATCCAGTGTCTAGCATATCGTGGAGAGAACAAACAAAATTACAGCTAACAAGCATCCAGCTCGAGTCCTCATCCTCTTGGTCATGTGTACTGCTTCCCGTGTCATCGTCTTCTTCACCTGAAGAGTGAGAAGCAAATGGCCGGCATTCAACGGCCTTGATGTAGACGCCGTTGATTGCGGACTTCTCAGTTTGTGCCTCGAAAGATCTTCAACAGTCATCGTCGACTATGAGGCAGTAACCGAAACGACCGTGGTCGCGTTTTTCGAGGATCGGGATTTCTTGCTCCGGATCGGCACTATGGGATAGTCCTCCAACCCAAGATTCAAACCGCAGCATGGGTTCCAGACTGACATGCCGTCGAGTTCAGCGTCTTCGATTATTGACAGGCGATAGTAGGGCCGAATATAGGTCGCGTTTGCATCGTATGAGATGTCTCCTAGCATGCATTTGCGCAAGTATGTGACGTAGCGCTCCCATAAGGCCTGGTCGCGGTAAGTTGTCCGGTAAAGATAGAAACCCCAAACATATAGTTGGTCGGGTCGATGTCGGATGTGCTGGGTGACGCTAGGAAGATGTAGCACAACGGTAGTTGGAAGTGGTGGAATCTCCATTTTGTATATTGAAGATCTGAGGACCGAAGAGAGAGCGACTATGATGATGAAAAGTTAAGAAATGGCAGATGGCTGCGAAAGGTTTAATGCCAAGTAGAACCGCAGGATTCGACGACTATATATCAGTCATCAGGTCTTTCTCCGGGAGTAGTGGCACTGACCTCGGTGGAATTCGCGGCATGTCTACCTCAACGGCGTACCTCTTCGATCGAAGGAATGACCCTGCTGAGCAGATACCTGGAAAGCTCCTATGGCATGTTTCACTTTGAGTTGCAACGTACTGGCGGGGTATAGAAACCACGGTGCCGCTGTGGCATTTCTACCTTGAGAGAGCCCGATTAAACTTCCTCAGCAGAAGCACTTCTATGCAAAAAGAACCATGCGGCAATGTGAGAGAACTTTCCCCTTGATAATTTCAATTGAAGATCTCATGACACAGCGGCACGTTTAGAAAGAATCAGTATGACACTTCCTTAGTGCTATGGTCCTTCCCATCGAGGTTCGTCACCAACCTTTCACAGTGCGCGAATCGACCTCGTGGTGGCGGCATTCAAGCGACAAAAGAAGATCTATGCGCCTTTGGAATGGCAAATGCAAGCGTACTACGGAATTTTGTTGAGGCCTTTTGGACGGTATTTCAGTATCCTCCACTCCTAGTCACATGCCGTTCCGGAACCTAGGAGTGTCACAGTACAGAAATTTGCGGCGTATGAAGGACTTCCCAGTTATCCGCGTGCGATGGATCGCCAAATGGCTTCAACAGCGCAAAGCGAAGTCTGAACAAGTTAGCTCCGAGATGGAGAGGTTCTGGAAATGGAATATCACGTACGTGTAGTTGCCAACAGCGATTTGGCTTCCGTTGCCGAGTTTCCCGAACCACCAGTGCTCATCCTGTTCGTAAGCACCGTTGCGGTTGCGATCCATGATTGGATACGTGAATGTCTCGTTCGGGTCGTAGATGCTAGTGTCGATTGCCTCTACCCTGCCAGACCCGACCCATGAGGCGATAGTACCGATGTGGCCATTCTCTCCGGGTACTGGGGGATACTTCCACTGTCGCTCCGTCCAGCCCGCCTCGAAGACCTAGTATGCTGATTAGCCTTGACCCAATATCTTTTGGCACCTTGGTTGGCCATGACGTACATCCCAGCGAGTCTCCTTGATGCCATAGATAGGTTTGCTGATGACCCTGGGGAAATCTTGAGCAGCTAGGCTAAGATTAAAAGTAAAGCTGGACAGTGTTAACATTGCTGGGCATCCAATTGTAAATGAGAGACTCACTATGGCTTGCTAGCGACTGGAGTATTCGAAGTTGTTGATATCATGAAAGCGTAATTGGTTTCCTCCAAAGGCGTCACCTCCTTGCGAAGGTCGCCACCAAGACCTAATCAACCAGTTAGCAAAATGAACAATCGAAAGTCCTCAAGAATACGAACCAAGATAGGGGACAGAGAGAAATTCTCCATTGCTGCCAGAGATGAGGACACGACCGCTATACAAGGGCAATCCAGACGCATTCCAGCCAAGGGTGTCTGGGTTCTTAAAGTTCACTCTGGATGAACCGTCAGCGGATGCCAGTTTGAAGAGGTTCCATAACTTACGAGACTGTCTTGCTTTCTCCAGATTGCAACGTGAAATCCGCGGGAAAGCTGATCTCCGGCGCACGCGTCTCGGGGACCATGTCAAAGAATTCCTTGACCCTCTTGGTTCCAGGAGCAGGGTTAGCGATAACCCGGTCAGCTGCGTACCACCCAAGGATATCGGCCGAGACGATGTCTTCCGCAGAAAACTTGTAGGTCACTGCCTCTTCGTCATTATTGGTGACGGAAATCTCATGGTAGCGATTGAAGTAGCGGGTGTCGTTCAGTGCAATTTTCTCATAGTCGATCACGGTCTTGTACTGGAGCACCTTGAAAGCATCAACCAAGCCGTTTCCGACTTGAGCGACACTAGCAGAGTGGCCGTAGTCGGTCTCGGTCAGACCATCAGCCCAAGGAACACTGATGCCACTGGAAATGATACGCTTGCCGAGGTCTTTTGCCCAGGCATTTCCACTAGGGTGCGTGTTACGCCCGCCGTGGACAGAGACGTACAGCGCGGCCACCCCGGCAATATACGGTGCAGCCATGGAAGTGCCGCTCTGAATGGTGTAAGAGTCGTCGATCCATGTACTGTAGATCTTGCCTCCCGGTGCAGCAATATCGGGCTTGATCTGGAGATCGTACAATGGTCCGATATTGGTGAAATAATTCGGATCACCGCCGAGGGAGTACGTCAGCGCGACCGGAAGTCCATGGTTGACAGAGAAGTCTGCGGTGACGTTACGACCAGCCTTGATTGCATCGACGATTTGCTTTCCTGCAAAGCTAGTGATGAATCCGACAGTGCTGTTCGTATTGCCGATAACGGGGTAGCTGAGTGGGCGGTCGTCGTTGTAAACTAGAACAAGCGTGCCACCGACCAGAGCTAGATTCTCTTGCTGCGTGTGGATGTCGCATGACACGGCGGCCCCGCGTCTGACGAGTACAATCTTGCCCGTAAAATCCAGAGAGCCAGGCTCAAGCGGCTCGCACGCGTCAGTTGTGGCGTTGGTGTCGAGAGAGAATGGGACGATGGGTACGTCTACGATTGTCGCGGGGAACGGGTCGTAGCTGATGGGAGGAATGAAACCAAATCGAGCCGTCTCTTCCTGGCCGCCATCGACTCCGGAGAAAGTGGCGTCGAACGGGAAGGCAGGGAATGTCTGAGAGTCAACGGAGGCTACAGCAAGCACATTCTTGCCAGTTGCTCCGGTACTGCTCAGGAACGGTCCAACTGTGCCCACGTTGCCGGACGCAACGACGGTGACGATGCCTTCGTCTACAAATCGAGATGCAACCACCGACCAGGCCTCCGTAGCCCATCCAATGTTGGAGCCGACGCTAGCTGTAATGATATCCACCTAAGCCAGGAGTCAGCGACACTGCATTACAGATAATTCCGAAAAGGTAAGCGCTTACCCCGTCATCATAGGCGCGGAAGAATGCTTCGAGAATTGTCGCAGTATCGGTAAAACCCTGTAAGTGAGTTTCGAGCATTAGTCTCGCGGACTGTATCGTTGTCAAATCGCAGCGCTAATGCTACTCACGTATTGCGAAAAGATCTTGTAGGCGTAAAGCGTTGCCTCGGGTGCAACTCCGGACCATCTATCGACAAGCTGGTCAGATAGTAACAACAATCGAGACGCTCCTTCAACTTACCCAGCTCCTTTAGCTGCAACGATGCCTGCAACATGAGAGCCGTGACCCTGTTGATCGAGGGGGTCCTCATCAGGTTCCTTCTCGCCCTCATACGGCCAAACTGGACAACGCCTCGATTAGCAACTCGGAGACGACCAGAAACCCCCATGCAACTCACGTCCATCCCCAGCGAAATCATGGCCTCTCTCCACTTTGAATCCAGGTCCAAAGCCATTGCCGAGCTATGGGATTAAGTAAGTAGTTGTAAGCGGTGTGCTTGGCTGAGATGCTCTCGTTCGGCAAGACTTACGTCGGGGTGTTTGTACCAAATACCAGTATCAACAACACCAACCTTGGCTCCCTTTCCAAAGATGCCCAGCGCATGTAACTGGGAGACACCAGTAGCATTGTGCGTCGTGTACGCTACATCCTCGCCCTGGACCAAACCATTGTTTTCCACAGGGTCGAGCTTGACTGCCACGTTGGGCCAAACATTCACGACATCAGGAAGACTCAACAAAGAGTCAAGAGTATGGCTCTCAGTCTCGACGCTTGCGCCAGTAAAGACCTTGTTGTCAAAAGTCTTTACGATATTGACACCATCGGTCGACGCGAGCCCGTCTCGGCGTTGAGTTGAGCCCTGATGTCGCTGGTCAATGGCGGACTCATTGGAGAAGCGCAGAATGCATGCTCACTGGCGCGAACTCCACAATGAAGCTCTTTGAAATAGGCCGATTGTTGTCCCTGAAGTCGACATTCTCGCGACTCTTCAGCGTGGAATCACTCCCTGCTTTGACGAGCAGGAGTGTAAGGGCGAATGCGAACAGCCGCATTTTGGTCTGGGCGCCGCGCGAGCAGACGTTCAGGAAAGGACAAAACCTCGGTGCTCTCCTCTGTGGCGCGCCCTTCCTGACGTCCTCGCCTTGATATAAGTGCAGACATCTCTGTTTCTCTACGTCTCGTATATGTAGATCCGCGGGGCGATGGTCATTCCAGTCCCTTGTTGATGTCAAGATCCGAGGAAGATAAGGCTCGTTTTCGGACGCAGGCTGCGCGGAAATCACGAAAAGTCCCTGGCTGAACTACATTTACGAGGTTACAGTGCGTCTTAAGGCACTGCGTGCCTGGATTGACGTCGCAACGCCGTTGCCAAGATGTGATAATGAACAGCCAAAGACTTTATCACGCGAGATGAGATGAGCCACCCCTAGGTATTTATCATAACCCATGCCGACGCGACTCGGTCGCGTGCTTGACAGATCACAGGATGGCCTATGGCAAGAGAGCTTGACATTCAGTGTAAATTGATCGCGTGCTGCACCCCAGTCCAGTGCTAATCCACCTTCCTCGTTCAGATTCTTGGCACCCGCAGGGCCGGATAAGTCTGGGCTTATCACCGAGGGTTCGTTGCCTCTAAATAACCTTTTTTCAATTGGACTGTGTGTGCGAAACCCAAGCATTGCCTCGTTATGTTAACTATTCGTAAGATGCTTTCGGGCAATGGCTCTCATAGCGATGGCTGGCCTAAGATAGATAAGGTAAATTGATCTGGAAGGGGTTGTATTCTGGCGAATCTTGTTCGAGGAGAGCGAGTGTTTTTAATCTTTCCCGGTGGGATGGGCGATAGCGCTCACTGTGCGAGTATCCCCAGTCTCACATGTTTCCTATCCTCTCAGATGGATTCATGGCGCTATGTTGAGACTTTCCCTGTGAGTGTGACGGCTCTTAGAGCCGTGATCGGGCACTTGACCCGGTACCTTGTCTCGCCTCTGCAATGGTTATCTAGCTGGAGTGTTCAAGCCGCAACGCTTGAGGATACCGCTGCCGTTGACGGTTCCGAGGCCCGGGGGCGCAGCTCAATCGGCGCGTCGGGGTTTGTTTCTGATCCCGGGTTTGGGTGCCGAGCCCGCGGAGCGCAAAGCGACCCCATCAAGTTGGTGAATACCGGGCGCCTGAACTCGCTCTGTATACTTTCAAGTGATCGCCCGCGAGTTTCGGGCATGAAAACAGTAAGCACAATTGCCGTGATGACAGTCAGACCCCCGAAAAGGAAGTATGCGCCATATGCTGAAGCAGATAGTAGGATTGGAGTGACGAGTGCCACCAGCCAATTAGTGAACTACGCCATGTCAGTGACGTCGAAATCGAAGAAGGAGAACAGCACTCACAAACGAAGACGCCATGCCGATCGAGTTTCCTGCGGCTCTGGTATTTCCAGGTAGAATCTCGCTGGCGTAGATCTTTCCGACAACATTCCAGGTAGCGCAGTAGGCCATGCCGAATGCGAACACTGAGATGACGACTACCCATCGAGCAGCTCCTGTAGGTCCCACCGCTCCAGCTGCATAGAGACTGCCCATGAGCATCATGAGACCAGAAAGAATAACACCACCGCTGATAGCCGATGTTCGTCTTCCCCATTTATCGGCTAGGATGGAGGCTGGGATAGACACGACCAGCATCGTGACGGAAGAAACGCCGGATGCGATTAGCGAGGAGTTGGACTGTGAGATGCCAGCCTGGTCGAACAAAGCGGGAGCGTACTATCTTGGTCAGTCTTTGTCTCGAAAGAATAACAGGGGCTTCTTACATAGGTGATTGCATCGATTCCTGATAGTTGGATCATCGACAGAATAAAGAGCGCCAACAAAGTCCTCGACCGGTAAGGCCCACGGAAAGGCAAAAGAAAATTCTGCCTCATGGAAAGACTAGGCTGCTCTTGCGGCGTGTTGAGAAAGTCTCGCCGAGCCTCGTCCATGTCGAAGTCAAGCAACTCAAGAGCTGTCACCGCCTCTTGCGTCGTGCCCCAGAGCAGCAGCCATCGCGGTGACTCAGGTAAAACTCGGCAGACGAGGGCGAGCATGATGGAGACGGCGATCTGGACCACGTATGGGAGACGCCACGCGGTGCTGTCTTCAATCGAGCTCGTGGTGTAGCAGGAGAAGTACCCGATGCAAATGCCGAGAGTTGCCATGAATTGCGGCAAAGCGGCGAGTCGACCTCTCCGGCGGGAGGGAGCTATCTCTGCGAGATACACGGCGATGTTGCCCAGGAAAATTCCCTGGCCAACGCCGCTGACTGCACGACCGAGAATGAATTGGCCCAAGCTGAAAGATGTCGTTTGTAGAAGTCCACCAAGGGCGAAGAGCGCGGCACCGGGTGATATGATGCGCAGTCGTCCATACTTGTCTGCCAGCTGGCCGGCGAGCAGCGAGGGGATGATGCCCGTCAGCAGGATCATCGAAACTGTGATACCTCGAACAGTCGCGGAAAGATCACCGAATGTTGTCGCAAACTGCTTCATGTGCACTACTGAGCCGATGGTGCCGGTGTCATAGCCGTTGAGGAAGCCTCCAAACGATAGGGCGATGGTCGCCGTCACGTAGTTCGGCATCAGTTTCGCAAGATGCGGCATAACGAAGCGTTGGAAAATGACCACTTTCTAAAGAATTCAGGTTGATTACGTCGAAAAAGCAATACAACACGCTGATGCAGTGTGTAGTTGAGAACTCAAAACCGGTGGTAGTCACAACCCCGCAGTAGTAAGCGCATGTCATCTCACCCGTCGATCACTTCTCCGCCTGTCGGAGAACTTCATCACGTGCGTGAGATAACAACAGCCACGCCAATTGACAATGAAGGGCTCCAAACAGTTTATTCTGTTTCGTGACGTGTGGCCTCATCAGAATTCAGGTATTTGCGGGCAAGAGACCTTGGCTGAGAAGCGCTGCCTATTTCATTCCATCTTATATCTGGAGTTCAATTGCCATAATTAATGGCAACAAAGCAGTATTATTTTGAGAAAATAATGGATAATTATTTAGAATGTTAAGGTGAGAATAGTCAATCATACTTATCGCTTAATGAACCTGCAGTCAGATTAGAACCGCGTTCACTGCGTTCACTACTAATGCTCGCACGACGTTCTTAAGCTCATTGGCGTGTAAGCATGACGCCGTCGAGATAGATCTTGAGCATATTCTTCTCTATCACGTGCGATCACGTGACTGAACAATGTACCTTGGTTGAGTTACACATGTATCGTTGGCTGGGAATTCCAATGGTTGACGCATACATAATGCGTCTCATGTTGGATCTGGACGCCTCAACTATTGGCACATATACTGGTTCATAAGCCTCAGTCATGACGAATTCCCGACATCTCGTGCTCATTACCAATTTGCATTTTTGCCGTTGCAATCGGCACACATATTTCCTTTTTTTTTTATATGTAAAACTTCACCTAGAGCAGCAAACACTCTAAGAATACGGCTGCCTTCATTTTATGTTCTGTCACTATTACCTCGAACCCTTCATGTTCTTCACATTGTAATTTGAGAAGCGGAGGACGGCATTCCGCATGGTTCGGTCGGGATTGCCTCAAAAATGAAAAGCGGGGACCCGAAACACAGAGATTTCGGCGAAAAGCCGACCAAGCAACCGGTGGCTTGGTCCGGGCTTCGGAAAGTCCGGCCGAGATGTTTTGACACATTCGGGCCCGGCAGCGGGCCGGACCAAGAGGCAGAAAAAAGGTCCCTTATGAAGTTCTTCGAGTCGTGGCAGTTTCTCCTCCGCCGATCACTTGCATCCGGCGGGCGCCGTACACGTGTGAAGAGAACAATGTTTTGACTTTTGACAGCGCGTGCGACATCTCCCGCGGTAAGACGTTCTTCATTAAACTGTATTATTTTCCGTAAGCTTATTCAGCGTTTGCATTGGACTCTCGGTGGCCAATGCTGCCCCCGTCGGTACCCGCGGGCGGGGAATAACTGACTCGGCTTCACAAAAGATCAGCGCTGTGTGGTCAGCTTGACTAATTCAACTTCATTGTATGAAAGAAGACGGCTGAGATGTTGGAAAGAAGTCGAGGACGCTGTACTGAAAGTTGTGAGACTGTCGTGGTTTATATGATGTTCAGCGGACAAGGTGAGGTTGCAGCGACCATCTTGCATCGAGACATTTCCATCGGAGACGCGTCCCAGTTGGTGTCGGATGTGGTACTTGAAAGGGGAAGGTCGATGACACCACCCCCAGTAGATCCACCAGACGCAGGACCCTTGACTCTGGAGGCATCCCATCCCCCTTTTGGCTGCCCTGGACGGATGCGTGCCCAATGGGACCAGACCAACATTGAGAGACAGAAGTTGGCACGTACCTTGCATGTGCCGCGCACGCCAGCCCTCCCACAGGCGCGAGAATAATTCCGGCCAACACCAGCCGCAAGGAAATGTCTAATCATTGGACCACCTCATTTTGATCCGAACGTGGGGTTCTCCAACTTTCTATACGAATACCGAGTGCTCGTTGTGACAAAGAGGAACTTCTGCCCAAATCTAGTGGAGATGACTTCACTTCTAGCGACCCAAACTTCTGGGCACTTACCCCAGCATTGTCAGCTTTCATTCACCGCTTGTGAAGAGTCAAACGACCTGCCAGAGTTTCAGGCCTTGTGGGCAAGGAACATTAATCGTCGGAGCTCGGAACGTGGACGACATGCTACATCGTCTTCATGTGATTGTCTGCCATGGTTCAGTGTTGTCGCTGGCTGCTCGGGACAGCCCCAGATTCAAAGTTGAAGACCGGGTCCCGACCACTTGAGGCTTCACCTGAGAACCCACGATGATGGGTACCTACCCGTACGGATACCCCCTTAGCGCATGCGAACACGGATACAGTGTCTGTCTTGTTAAGTAAGGGGAACGGGTATGACTATAGACCCGCAAGCAATGTCACATGGCCGACGAGTAAGTTGTCAAGGAGTAATAGAACCAACATTATTCATTATTCACGAGTCTCACTTGCAGCGGTATTCAATGATGCTTAAGTAACTTAACGCTTGAATATGAGATCTATCCATAATTCTATTCCCAGTTCTATACACAAAAACAAGACAAAGAACAAGCATAACTCGCAAAGAAGATGTGCGGGATGTGGTATCAAGGACAAGGGTGTATTGGCATTATATCGTGCGTATCCTCGGTGGTTCTAAGAGAAGACCTCCAAAACTCCTATCCGTTCCAGACGTCCCTGAGATTTGATGGGCTCTCTCGCAAAGTTGGCAGATGGTTTCTCGGCAGGTCCTAGGGGTATCGATGGCCGCACGAGCGTTGGTGGCAGCGGGCTGAGCCGTGGCAATGTTACGAGCCACTTATTTGTGCTCACCCTGGCCGATGCAGTAGGGGACGGGGTAGCTGGTGCTGTTGCAAAGGCGGATAACACCCTTGACCCAGGCAAGGTTGCCGTAGGACTGGTCAGCGTAGGTGTCGGAGGTGAAGGCATCGACGGAGGGGCTGTCGGTGCATCCGGAGAAGATGTTGCCAGTGACGCGGCGGACGTTGGGCTGGGAGACAACGAGGCCGTACTGGCCGTCGGGGACGGTGAAACGGAGGTTCTGGGACTGGGTGGTGGTCCAGGTCTTTGCGTAGCTGACGGACAGAGAGACACCAAGGGCGATCTTGGCAATAGTGGTGGAGAGGCCGGCGGTGACGGTGACGGAGTTGGCCAGAGAGTAGCCGCTGTCGACAGAGACGGCGACGTCGTTGCCAGCAGCAGTGACGACGGGGGAGACAGCAATGTCCCAGTTGAGGAACTCCTCGTCGGTAAGGACCTGGACCTCGGTGGACTCGTCGCAGCCGCGGCGGGAGAGAACGTCGCCGAGGGCGGGGGCGGGAGCGACGGGAAGGGCGGCACGGCGCTCAAGAGCGTCGTACTCGGAAGCCTTCATGACAGTGTGGGAGCCGTCCTCGCCAACAACGATGACATCGTCAAAGTTGAGGGGAGCGGGGCCAGGAGCCGGGGCGGCGACAGCAGCGCCAATGAGGCCGGCAGCGGTAAGAACGGAGAAACGCATCTTGATGGTTTTTGGTAGTTGGTTGAAAAGAGTGGAAAGTGGGTGGTTGTTCTTTGCAAAAGAGCGACTTTGGAAAGTAAAGACTGAAGAGTTGCTGAGTGACTCGTGGAGAAAAGAATGTGGGGAAGGAAGTGTATTGGAGAATAGACTGATGATGCAAGTAGAAGATATTCCGAATCTCTGGGTGGGAAGAAGGTGTTCTTATACCATGTTGGTGTCAAGATGTTTAAACTTGTGGATGATACAATGTTCCCCAGTTACAAACTTAGACTTTGGACATTCGCTCTCAGATGTTCGCAAGACGGCTTCTGCGTCTGTCAAGCCGCCCGCCCATGTCCATGACTCTCCATGGCATCCACGGGGAAGCGCACATGCGCGCGCTCGCCAGGCCGAAGGGGTTGGAATGGATATCGCTGCCAAGAATCCCTACGGGGCTGCCGGCATGACCACCATGACACCAGAGCGTGGTGATCGGGCCAGCCGGTCAGGGTTCGAAAGGTTCGACATAATCAAAATCCCATTTGGGAGGACTTGTTATCATCAACCTGAACAATATGACTGAAGCAGGTCCAGCGGCAGTACGACCATGCGCTGACTCGGATCGTGGCAGGGCGGCGATCGGTGAGGTCCCGTTGTGGGGGAGAGCGCGCGGATGGGATGCTGGGCAAAGAGGCTAAGAGGCCAAGAGTTGGATATCAGATGGGCTGGGCTAATGATGGAAAATGGGACGAACACCAACAAGGTAAAGGTAGGGCGTAGAAGTTTCACATTGAGATGGTAGACGCCGGATCCGGGCGGCGGATAGTGTTGTGCGCGTGGAGCAATGTGCGGCTCTGGGGTTGTATCGCGTAGTCATCTGATCCAATGGACTCACGGGAGCGGCTACGAGTCAGTCAACAACCGCAAGTGGTCCCGACTCACCGTTTCATGCAACGCCATCCATGAACCCCCTACATAGCCTAATGCAGAAGGCGGCTGGAGATTATTTGCTCATGCGCGTCTTCTCCCCTGTAGAAACCCCATAAAGTCCCCCCTAATGCCAAGATGCCCGTGTTAGACGCAGATGGGCACACATGAACTCAATCAGCCCAGCTAGCAAGGACTCAAAGACGTTCAAGCTCCAAAGGGCTGAGGTAAACCCTGGGAGTTTCCTCTTTAGAACACACATTAAGTTTGATGACGGATGGTCTACAGAGAGAGCCCTGTTGAATAGCTGCACCGCCTAGAGGGGCGCCCAGAGGTCACATCCATCCACACGGTGAGTCCGCTCCTCAATGATGATCAAACTCCTATTGCGGGCCACGGGTCCTACGGACCTTAGAGACGAGCGCGCGCCGACAAAGGCGCGCGGAAGTGGGACTCGGCCAGCCTGGCAGTGGGATCATGGATGATGGTCCTTGTCTCTGTGCCGAACGTGTTGGTCAGAGCATGACCTTGGTTATCCGAATGCGATAGATTGTCGATTGGGAAACATAGCAAGGCCGTGACTCGTTGTAAGTTACCTTGGATGTTGTGACCGTGGATATAAACCTCCATAGCTTCCTCCCCGATATCATGAAGTTTAT